ATATTACATTTTTGACAAATATATATATCAAAACCTTCTTCACGTGAAACAACAATAATTGAATGATTAATATTAGAAATTAATAACTGTTTCTTTTGTCTTTTTTCATTATCTTCTATAATCCATTCGATAGAACCACTACCACTATATTGATCATTTAAAGAAATAGACCATTTTGAGCATGGATCATTTTCCCATGAATGATCTTTTGAATAGAAAAACTGATTTAAATCAATAAGTGCACCATAACAAAGCGAAACAGCAAAATCTGATTGTAGTCTATGGTAGATTGGTTTCTTTGACATATTATTACTTAACTTATCTTGTTGTTTTTCTTTTTTTAACGTCATCCAAAAAGGCTTGGATGAAGAGAAAGAAAGTCTCGGAATATCAATGCTTTGTGATTTAGTAAAGTGAATATGTATTGATGTTAATCCAAAATACCATGGATGTAATTGTTCTTCTGTATTTGTCCACCGCAAACCTTGTTGTGAAAAATCGTTTTTTATAATTTGCTTAACGTTTTTAGTATTTTCTTCATTATTTATAATAATTATTAAATAATCTTGTTTTGTTGGTGTTTGCCATGGTTGAAACGATTTACTTATGTCAAGATCAGGTGGGCTTATCTGAATAGGTAGTGATGTACCAGATTCACTTTCATATTCATCATTGTCATCAATTGTTGGATTATCATCAAGTGAATCATTATTTTCATCATCAGCAAATGGAGCATTTTGCTTTTTTGACGGAAATTGTTGATAAACTTTTTCCCACAACGATGATGTCTTTAAACAAAATAAATAAATAAATAAATAAATATATATATATATATATATATATTGTTAATATTCATTAGAAAAACTCGCGTTCAATATTTCTTACAGATTCTGTAGAATCACGTCGAGATTGTATTGGTTGTATTTGTCTATTTGATGCCATTATAAACTCAAAATACACAGAAATACCTCAGTCAGACATGTCTGTCTTCAAAGAAAAAAACAAAAATTGTTTTTTTCTTGTTCTTTCATAAGACGCAAAACTGAAATCTACTACAACGATTGGGTTTTTTTCACAATGCTGTGTATTTTTCAGGTGTGCTTTTTTCTGAGTGCATAAATGTGAGTGCTTTCAACATCTCGACAGAATTTGCTTGTAAAAGTCACTGCCATTCAGGCAATATTTTTTTCAATGCTTTATGCGTTGATAAAATATTTTTTTTAAAATTTATTTACAGTGGATCAGCTATAATGCACGTAATAAAAGAAAGAAAGAGAAAGGGAGTCTCAGTTTGCTCAATAAGACTGGTAAATCTGAATTTAGTCGAAAGTAAAAATATCGAAAGATTAGAATGTAGAAAATAAAAATGTTGATGAAGAAAAACGAAGGATATATATGGGGATGGAAAACTGTGGCTGAGGAGATTTCTTGTTTCATGCATTATCGTTTTCAACAGGGCGGATATGGGTGTAGATGTGTAACTCTAACTGAGTGAGAAGATAGGATATGGTTCTAGGTCTGGGTCTGCGTCTGGGTGGATGAAAGTGTGGGTGTCAATGGATGTCGGTGATGGAGTCGTGTGTGCATGTAAATATCTGTATTTTTAACTCATATCCACACCGACACCATCGTCCACATCTACAGCCAGATCGTCAGAGTATGTGTGTGTTAGTGTTGAAGTCGCTGAGAGACTCCTCAATCTTGCACACCCACACCCGACACTCATACGATGCATGCTTGTTTGTTCAGTTCTGTGCGGATTCAATTGCTATGCACTCGCATGACTAATTATGTAGTCGACTGAAGCCATTGTTTAGGAGTATACTGCATTATACCTAGCGACAGTTATTGTTGTATCCTTTTATGACCTTTAAATATTTCCTTTCGGAGTCTTACTCGTAATTTCAAACAATAGAATGTTTGTTTACGATATTTTAAGATTTCCACATTTTTATTTTCGACATTTTTCAGGAGAACCAGATGTATGAACTACAGAGAAGCTTTGTTTTTTGAAGGACATTCTTCATATATGATTCAATATCGATTATCACTTAAATTCCAATTGGTATGAAAATATCATGTATTCTATCAGAGAACGACACTCATGAGAGAAAGTTCCCAAGTGATAAATCGTTTTTACGTTGGATCTATATGTAAGCGATAGAATCTAGTCGGTAGGTAAATACTCTAGAGTGGTTGGAGATGTTCAATCTTTACTACTGAGATATCGAATTTTTAGTAGATTTTTCCTGTGGGATTCCAGTTTTCAAATAAAATCATACTTTTGAATTTTGATCTAAAACTTTACCCACATAATGGCTTCGATTCGACTAGCTTGTAGAAAAGAATGTCGGAACTTTTTGCCAAAGTCTCTTCGAGATATAAATTTTTCAAAGAATAGGCGCTTCGCCTTAGTTATGATAAAAAACATGGCTATTTTAAAAGATTCTTATCTCAGTGAGACTTTTTCAAAGAATCGTGAAGTATTTTCTATAAGTTACTCTCATCGAGGCCTTTATTAGGGAAAATTTTCAGATGAAAATTCAAAAGTAATGATTTTGCTTGAAAACCGGCATCCTGTAGGAAAAATCTATTCAAAATTGGGCATCTCAGCAACCACGGTGCAAAAATTCGAACAGCTCTGGGTTATTTACCTACTCGTTATGGTCTATCGATTGAATATAGTCTCAGCTTAAAAGCGATTTATCACTTGGGAACTTTTCCTTGTTAGCACATCATCTTGTTTTGATCATTTGTATAGTACGCGAACAATTCGGAGACAAAAATAACTTACAGAGAAACATCGCGAAGTGCCATGCTTCGATTTGTTTCGTTCATATACCATTCGATAGAGAATATCGAGCTAATAGAAAGTCCAAACAGATTTGTGTGAAGGGCTCTTCCTCAAAAAGCTAGGGCCAATTTTCTTTTTCTCTCAGTGAAAGTAGTCCAAAATTGAAAACTTTACAACTAAGTCAAAAACTGCTTTAGACACTTGAAATTTTCAGCACAATCGGCTCACAATGATTGCTGAACAGCCTGAAAGGTTTCAAAACACTTAAGAGATTTGTTTTTTATTTAATGAACATCGTTGTTGTCTGGCACACTGTAAAAATACACCTTTTCCCATGTAAAAATAAAAAGGTATTTAATCATTTCAGGACGGGTGGCCACTATAGTGGTCACTGATTGTTTTTGAACAGAGAGATGTTATTCATTGATGATCAGGAATAACTGTGTATGCATCATAATATACTTATTATAATGATATGTACCTAATGTTGTTTTCGTGATCAGTGCTGATTTTTCCTCTTTTTTTTGTTCTGCATCAGCTCATAACACTATCATTCTGATTTTCTCTCTTTTTCATGTCTTCTCTTCTTCGACACACGTATGGGAGCATAATGTAAACAAAAGGAGTTTTAGATGATGTTATCATTTACGCATCATCTCTTTCTTTCTATCGTTTTCGTTCTGCTATCATACTTGAATGCGTATACATTCTTTTATTCTGGTATATTCAAATACATTCGTTTTCTTTCTTTTTATTCCTGTATGAGTCATGTTTTGTCTGTTGTTTCTCGCATTTTCCGCTGAGTCGTTTTCTTTCTTTTACCTTCTAGAGATTTCTTTCTCTTTCTGCACTCTGATGTATATATATATATATATCCATCATTTGAAACTCTTTGACTTATTGACTAGTGGCCGATTACTCTCGCAAACGATATATTAGAAAAGTGTTTGATATTACCACATATTTCGTCTCGTTCATTTTGTTGCTATGTGAATAAACTATGGCTGCATTCAAATATAAACCAAATACAGAAGTGAATGAAATTCATATGAATATCGAGTCCGACAGCGACAGCAGTTTTCTTGATGATTTTAGCAACGAAGAATCTGACGATGAAGATTATTCATCTGCGCGAAATAGATCCTAGAGAGCCGGCCATTTTACGCCTCGTCTTTTTGACTTTACAGCAGAGACTGCCATCAATTCGGAAATATTAGACTCGGAAAATGAATCTCCATTAGACTTTTTTGAAGTGTTATTCAATCGAACGATACGTATTAGAACAAATAGTGAATGAAACAAATAAATATCAATCACATTCAAACACAAGTATTCCAGATTCTTCCATATCTCATCAGGCACGATGGAGTGACACACGTAGGTGAAGTTAGCCTCATATTCGAGTGAATCCAGCCGATATTCGTCCTGGAGGCTGCTCCAATTGCTCCAGAGAGCTCCAGAATAGAATTCGACAAGCTCTATCGATTGATAACGTTGGATTTTCCATAGCCCAAACCGTTTGTGAAAAACTCTCAAAATACTAATTTTTCACTATGCGAATCTTACCATATGGTTAGTAAATTCAGCCGATATTCGTCCCGGAGGCTGGTCCAGGTGCTCCAGAGAGCTCCAGAATAGAACTCGACAAGCTCTATCGATTGGTAACGTTGGATTTTCAGTATCTTATACCACTCGTGAAAAAATCCCAAAATGCTAGTTTTTTGCTATGTGAATCTTACCACATGGTTAGTAAAATCAGCCGATATTCGTCTAGGCAGTCCTTCTAGCTGTTTCAACACGTTCCCAAATGTAAGTTCAGGGTGTGGGTGTGGGAGTGGAAAACGAAGGAATCAACACCCACACTCACACGCTCAAGTTACATTTGGGAACGTGTAGGAACAGCTAGAAGAGCTACCTAGACGAATATCGGCTGATTTTACTAACCATGTGACAGAAGCCTTATGGTAAAAATGAGTATTTTGGCTTTTCTCCACGAATGGTATGAGATATGGAAAATTCAAGATTACCAATCGATAGAGCTCGTCAAATTCTACTTTGGAACTCTCTGGAACAGCTGGAATACTTTCCTGGGCGAATATCACCTGACTTTCCTAACCATGTAGCAAGATTCACATAGCAAAAAATGAGTCTTTTGGGATTTTTTTACGAATGGATTGAGCTATGGAAAATCCAAGTTTACCAATCGGTAGAGCTCATAAAGTTCTACTTTGGAATTCATTGGAACAATTGGAACACTTTCCTGAGCGAATATCGGCTGATTTTACTAACCGTGTGGTAAGATTCACATAATGAAAAATGAGTGTTTTGGGATTTTTTCATGAATGGTTTGAGCTATGGGAAATCCCAGGTTACCAGTTGATAGAGCTCATCAAGTTCTACTTTGGAACTCTCTGGAACAGCTAGAGCAGCTTCCTGGACAAATATCGGCTGATTTTAGTAACCATATGGTAAGATTCACATAGTGAGAAATTAGTATTTTGGGATTTTTCACCAATGGCTTGAGCTATGGAAAATCCAACGTTATCAATCGATAGAGCTCGTCAAGTTCTATTCTGGGGCTTTCTGGAGCAGCTGGGGCAGCTTCCGAGACGGATATCGACTGGATTTACTTGAATATGAGGCTAACTGCACCTACGTGAATGACACAAACATTCCTGAGTTGTATTCATTTCTAGCCATCGTGATTCTTATGGATCATACGAAAAAGAAACGAAGAAAAGACTACTGGTCTACAGATCAGCTTATCTCTACTCCAATTTTCACTCAAATATTTACTAGAGACCGCTTTCTGTCAATACTGAAATTTTTACATTTCAATGACAACCAGTAACAGCAAGGTGGCGATCGATTGCATAAAATCAAGCCAATTCTTGATCATTTGAGAAAGAAATTCAAACTCTTTATCAAACCATACAAAAACTTATGTATTGACGAAGGCCTCATATTATAGAAAGGACGTTTGAATTCCAAACAATATATACCGTCGAAACGACATCGTTTCGGTGTGAAATTATTTATATTATGCAACTGTCACACTGGTTTCATTATGGATTTTATTACCTATACGGGCCAACAGACAGAGTTTAAATTGGACAAAGAACTAGAAATGTCTGGTTCAATTGTTATGACCCTGATGAATAGCTATTTAGAGGAAGGTCATGTAATTTTCATCGATAATTGTTACACAAGTCCTATTCTATTCGAAAAGTTACACTATAGACGAACAGGTGCTTGTGGAACTGTCAGGAGCAACAGAGCTGGTCTGCCTACATTCCCTTCGAAGTTGAAAAAAGATAAACAAACGTTTCAACATAGAAATATATTACTTGCATTGAAATAGTGTGATAAGCGCGATGTTCACATGTTATCTACAATCCATGTACCAGATATGATACTAACTAATAAAAATGACCGTGTAACGAACAAACCAATAGCAAAACCCCATTGCATCAAGGACTACAACGAAAATATGGGCTTAGTGGATAAGTCAGATATGTAAATTAGCTTTTCAGAATGTATTTGCAAAACGATCAAGTGGTATAAGAAGCTCTTTTTCTATCTACTCGATTTATCGATGTTAAATGTTTACGTACTATACAACGAAAAGAAACACGTAACTCTTGAGTTCACTGATTTTCGTCTACAAGTAATTCGAGAGATCTTTGACAAATATGGTACTCAATGGAATACAAGAAGTCGATCATCTGCTGACAAACCATTGCGACTGACGGCTCGTCATTTGCCATCGCTAACGGGTGGAGGATCACGAAGATGCATTGTCTGCAGTACGACTAGCAAACGATCCAAAAAACGTTCTCGTACCAAGTATGAATGTTCAGACTGTAATGTAGGTTTATGTGTTGCAAATTGTTTTCGAGAATATCATATACTGCAAGCATATTAATAAACTTGAATGAAGAAAACAATAAATTAATTCTTAAATTTTATTTTTCATATGTTTTTTTCACGAAAAATAATCCCATCTTGAAAGGATTAAAGTTGTAACATTTTTAATCATTAATTCGTTAAACTTTTAACGAATTTTTACGTCACAAAGTTTCATTAAATTATCAAAAGTTTTTACATGGGCGATGACAACTGTTTTCAATGTTCTATCTTAGGCTGCAGAAAGGCCATGGCAATGAAGAAGCAGTAACTCATCTGCAAAAAAATCGAAAATATAAATAAATCATCAGCACTGCTATTATGAAATGAATCAAAACTGAGTTATTGTATCTACATCACTTTTTTAACATTTTATTTCGTACAAGCACAACGTAAACAGCTTGTAGGCTATGTTTGAAGGAGAGATCTTTTCAACCTATTGGTATTCGTAGACGATTATGTATGTCAAATTACGATTGATACAATGTTGGTAGATATTTTTAGGCATACTTTCGATAGATTGGTACAAGTTCTGGTTTACGATCGACTCAAAGGAATTCTTATTGTCGTTGGTGTGGTGTTCGTAGATTTTCGAACATATTTGAGAGGTGTTCTTAGACAACTATTAGCTTCCATTATCCGAGTCGTCTTTCGGAACTGTCCGAAATAGGCTTTTGTAGATGTTAGTGGGTAAGATTCATCAAGTTCTATCTAACTATATAAATAGATCTAACCTATCTTTTCCTTCAAAGCATTCGTAGGTGTTCGCGTACTTTGTAAAAGGCCTTATTTAACACAAACTCTCTCCAAAATGCATAAAGTGTTGTTTGAAATAAATTGTTGGAAAACATCTATCTTCCTTGGGATCAACGATGGAAACTATTTTACAAGATTTTATTTACATTAGACCATAAGATACCAATTAGACGATCAAAGCATTTCAAGTTGAATTAAATTAAAACAAAAACGAGTGACAAATAAAGTGAAAGAAGAACGCTTGATTTCTTAAATATGCAAAATTCTGGTATATAATAGAGGATAACACTAAATTTCTAATGAATATGTAGGGTATTCTAAAAGTTCTCTGAATTGATTGCATTTAAAAACAATAAAAAGTATTGCTGTATATATATGATTGCCTTGTGTAATTCATACAATCCTCTATCTATAGATATCATATGCTCTGCTCAATGAAACATATTTACGAAAATATAGAAATGTATTTTAGATGACCTTAAATACATTAATAGAAAATTAATAATTAAAATAAAGACTCATGTTTTTGAATGTTAATTGTTATTCAATAATTATGAATAATATACAAAATGACCATTTACAATGAAAATGCTTTATGATATTGAATGAACTTATCGTTCTAAAAGCAAATAGCTAAGTTTTGATGATAGTTCTACATATGATTCATTTATCATTGAGATCATGTTAAAGAATGTGGTATTTCCTTGATTTGATTTGATTTGATTTTAGTCATATGTAATTGAACATGTAAAATTCTATGTAGAGTACACTGAAATACAATCAATGTTCACTATTAACACAGTTGCGATCTGATTGTTTTCTATAATCAAGGTTTTCAAAGTCATAATAGTTATATCATTAATATCGAGATTATTATCAATGTAAAATAATCTATGTTTAAGTTGAGGATCTTATTCACAAGTTGTACTAAGTAAAGGACAATTGATGATGATATACTCTCATTATACTTTCATAATATTATATTAGACATGATCTCTCAGAACAAAAAAATATAATTATAGAGCAATGTTTAAGTGTTTTTATAATTTTCTATCATTAGCTTTAGAATATCTGAAAATGTATTTCTATACTTTCATATGTATGTTTAATTCAGCAGAGTTTATTATGTCTACAGATAGAGGATTGTAAGAATCATGAACAGGAAATAATATTTAAAATAATAGCACTTGTCGTTATTTTTAAATAAAATCAGTCTGAAAACTTTTTCAATGTTACACGTAAGTCTCTAGTATAAAAAAAAAAGAAATAATCAACAGAATCAAGTCATTAAGAAAAGTACAATTATTGTATTATATTTCTTATTCTAAATAATTGTTTCATTAATAGCCATTTTTTGTAATAATAATATAATATCTTCACTGATATTAAGAAAACCTATGTCATTTGTTTGTCGTCCTTTATCAAAACAAATATCAAGAATATTTTGAAAATAATCATGCATCATACGATCTTCTTTTTCTGTCCAATTCATTAAAAAGAGTAAAGCAGCATACTCATCATACTCATCTATTTCATGAGGTCGTAAAATGAGTTCCCATTCATCAGTTGGTGTAGATTGTTCTGGCATGAGCACAAATGATGATGTATTTCGTACAAAATGACTAACTATCCAAGGCCAATATGAATAATCTTTTGATTCCATACATTGTTGAAGTATTTCAATAAATACACAAACTGTCAAATCCACATTAGCTTCACCAACAATACGTTTCTCAGATGTTTGAAATTGTAAAGTCGAGCCATCCAATCGAAGTCGATGTTGAACAGAAAGTAATCTACCAAGAGCATTTTTCATTGCGATACTTAATAATCCTTCTGATGATGGTTGTTCTTTATCTATTCGATTTTGTAAAAGAGGTGTAGCAAATAACCATGGTAAACTTAAGATTGGTGCTTGTTCTGATGCATATTCTCCAGTATAACAGGTATCATAACAAGCAACAACCACAGCTTGTTGTAATTCTCTACACGTGTTACATAACTTGGACACTAGTGTATCATCATCACATTTACCTGTGTCACAATAACTAGCTTGATAATTAAAAAAACGAGCTCTTGTACGATTGACAAGTTGTTCAAGTTCTGTATAAGCAGTGTCTTCAAGCTCACCAGTAAGACCATTAACAGAATTTCGACACCATAAATCACTTTCATGTGATAAACCATATAAATTAAGAATTTCAAAAATTTCTTGTCGATAAATTGAAGTTAATGTTTTAGCAAATGCAGCACGATTATGATATTGAGCGTGTTGACGATCGACACCGTCCAGAAGGGATTGATCAAGGTTAATCTTCGCTTCTTCATCATTATTTCTAAGTTCTTTTTCATTGTCTTCCTTTTCAGGTTCATCTCGTGTTCGAACTTGTAAATGTCGTAAATGATGATGATATCGAAGAAGTCGATTCCATCCAGGTAATGTTTTCTTTGAAGCACGATATAGTTTTCCTATATAATCATACACAAAATACAAAAACAATAAATGAAGAAAAGAAGAATGATTGATTTTCATACCAAGAATATGTAATGATTCATATCGTTCTAAAGAAGGATTATCCATAAAGTCTGGTCGTTTATTTTCTAGTGCATTATTCAATTTAGCAATATCATTTCCACTCAATGGATGATAACCAGTTTTACCACTATCAACTTCTTGACTAATTGCACCAGCTAATTCAATTGTTGATAAAACATCTTTTGCTGCCCTATTAACATTATCAACACCAAATTTATCAGCAAAAGCTAAATGTAAATTAGATAATCTTCCTAAACAATCTTGTTCAGCTATTCTAAGTATAGTATCATTGATGTTGCTTCTTGTCACAGGTCCATCAAATTTATCAGCAGGTGTTTGTGAATCATAATCATAAGGTTGTGCATTATCAGTTTTTGTTGGAACAAGATCTTCATGCCAAACAACTAAATATTCATCTCCATCTAAATCTGATCCACTAATATCATGTGGAGCTGGACGATCACCTTGTTGTGAAAAAACAACAACATCTTTTAAATGTTTTAATTTTGAATGATTAATAGCAGTAAATGTTCGAATATCACCTGGATGATGACAAGGATTTTTTGTAATAACAACTTTACGTTGATCAAGAATTCTAGTTTTATTTTTATTATTATTATTATTATTATTATTTCGATTTCTATCTAATATTGTATATTGAATAAATACTTGATCAGATTTGAGAACATTATATTCATCAACAATTCCCAACATATTTCGACCTTTATCTGATGGAATTTGAATACGAGTTCGTTGAAGTAAATCTTTTGTTGATTGTAAACATGAATTAATAAGTAATTGTCGAAAAAATGGTTCATGAATAAAATCAATATTTGCATCATGTATATCTTTAGGTAAAAACCATGATGGTACTTTTTCAAGAATTAATTTTTCTGCATCAGAATTTCGTAAAAGAGAACGAATAAGTGTAAGATGATTTTGTTGTTGAAGTATAAGAAATGATGAATCAGATATTTGTCGATATGATAAAAGAAGAATAGCTTGTCGATTAAGATATATTGATCGAGGTGCTGAGCGTTTACATACTTCAAAATAATCATGATCACTATTGAATTTTTTCATACTATGACGAATGGATAAATGAATATTTTTTGGCATATCTGGATGAATACTGACAACACCTTTAGCACCATCATAACGAAATTGAACAGCACTGAAATCATTTCGAATACGAAGTAATTTTTTTATCTGCGAATTACAGAAACAAAAGTCCATAATGGGACTCAAAATAAATACATTTAGAAACTTTGAGAATTGCATAGAGAATTCTTTGATACAACTTAGAGATATTTAACTAAATGGTAAAATATTTAAACGTAAGCAATATCAAGAATGGTGTTGCTTTTTTTTGCAGACTAGAAAGTTTGGTTGTTTGTAATATCGTATTAAACTATAATGAATCTTGTTCAGTTGTTCAAAGCCTTATGATTCGAATTATGTTTGGAATGTTAATGGTAAAAATGAAATGCTCAATATTGACATCTATATCATTTACATACAACAAAGAAGAGACGAATGAAAAACAGAAACATAAAAATGTGGCAGTTTTACTCGTTTTGTTCAATAATCGAACGAATACAGATCATGATTAGATGTTGTACAGAAATGATTTAGAGTGTCATGTCTAAGAATAGTGAAAAGAGCTATACAAGAAGCATTGAGCCATACACAAAGTATCCCAAAGTAGCTAGCGAGAATTTCATGCTACGAAAATAAAACTACTAAACTACAAAGGAGCAAAAGAGTTATGGTTACGAAGTTAATCTCGCTATGACATCTTTAGCGTAATTCGGTTTATGATTTCGCATAGAGATTATTGAAAAAAAATTGGTGACATATAATAACAAAGTGTCTAACCATAGAATGAAATCTTTCTATGACGATGTTACTATTACAGTACAGATCTATTTTATTATTGAAATTTCATAAGTGATGATTGTGAATAGTGATATGTTTCTCAAAGATGTATGATGAAACCATCTGTTACATCTTACTGTGTGTGTATTATTGATTTCCGATCATGAGCATGTATAAACTATCTATCGAGAAATCTTTATGAGATAGTGGAAAAACCTAATGAGAACAATAACTAAATGGAATAGGATATTCTGTAAACAGATATGTAAACTGTTCCTACTCATACCATAAACACATCACTGAAAATAGTCAACATAGATTGTTCTAAGAATATTATACTACAACTCTCGATCATGGTTTATCGACAATCGCGTCAGATCTTATCATGTTACAGATCATAGTGACTTGCATTGCTCCGATTTTCAAACTAATTGATAAAAATATGCTTTTTTTCTGATTTTTTTTTGTTTTTTATTATATTCTTACATTACAGATAAGCATTAAATATGAAAGGATATAATGTCTCTAAAGTTGATATATAAAGAAAAGTATTTCTAATATTCACTCTCAACTAGGAGTCTATGATTTCGATCATAAAAAACGTTCATGTTCTTGATTATAATTTCTATAGATAATTAATTTGGTATCAGAAACATTTCGATGGTAGTTCATAAACAATCAACAAAAAAAGATTTTAGTTATTTCTTTTGAAAATGAAATTATGTCAAAAGATTTAGTTAAATTCTATCTTAGAAATTTCATTATTAGTAATCCTTACTTCATCTCTCAATTTAAATGACATTTTACCACAACCATCTGTAAATATTAAAGTTTTATCACCAATTGTGGTCTCGATGTCTCCTTCTAGTTCGACATTATTTTTTGGCACCTATGAAAGAAAACAATAGATGTTCTAACAAAAACATGATAGATGATATAGTTTATTATATAACTTACTTGAACAGTTGCTCTTGTAGTTGTAAAACAAAGTGCCATACGTGCAGCATATTTAGCTGGATTTTTCTCTTTATCGAAATTACCCATCCATTTATAAGCTTCAGAAAAACTTAGATTTTTTTTTCTTAGATCTTTATCATAATCATTATGATGATAAAACCAAAATTGTCTTTCCCGTAATTGTGATTGAGAATGATGTAAATATTTATATTTTCGATTATTATTCATTAGTATAAAACCATTTTCCAAATAATCAAGTAATAATGAATGTAAATCTCGAAAATGAAATGATAGTAAATTTCGACCATTTTCATCCCGAATATCAACAAGAACAAAATGATAAAGTGCTGAACCAAATTGTTTAGTAGCTCGAAGAACTCGATTTGTTCGACATAATTTTAATGGTTTTATTCGAATTGTTGTTGGTGTTAATGATACTGATGGTATATATGCTTCATTTATTTCTTCAATATCTATTTTACTAATTAAACCATAAGCACAATCATCTCGCTTTTGTTGAGATTGAATTATAGCATGTTCTAATTCTTTATTTATGTTAACAAATGGTTTTAATGAAAATATCCTTGAAAGATAAACACATACACGATAAAATAATTCATCAGGATTATGTTCTTCTTTACTTAATTTATGTAATTTTTCGATAAAATTTTCTTTATCTATTTGAATTTGTAACCGATATCCAACACTAGAAAGCATTTGCCATGAATATTTCATGATAAGTGATGGAAAATTAGGTATTTCTTCTTGAAAAAATAAATATGGTTTTGATCCAATATTTGAATCGATATTTCCATAACAAACAGTTATTCGATGTGAAAGAAAAAATTCAATAAGTAATGCAACTATTTGTTTTATTCGATTTTTAATATTTGGTATAGTATTATTTGTTAAACGAAGTGGATCATGATGTATACTAAATTGAATAGTAGGAAAATAACAACCAGCATTGACACCAATTCGTTTATAATGTTCATAATTAAATCGTCGTTGTTGTCGAGAGTCATGTTGTGTCGAGTGCGATGGCTCACCATCACGTGTTCTTGAATTTGATCGACGATGTAATGGCACAGCATTACGTGGTCTTGAATGTGATCGATGATGTAATGGTTGTTGTTCGACATTTCCTGAAAAATCTTTGTTTCCACTTGATCTATTTTGACGTGATCTATTTCTATGATGAATATTATTATTATTATTATTATTATTATTATTATTATTTGTAGCTTGAGCTTCAAATTCATTTATATTACATTTTTGACAAATATATATATCAAAACCTTCTTCACGTGAAACAACAATAATTGAATGATTAATATTAGAAATTAATAACTGTTTCTTTTGTCTTTTTTCATTATCTTCTATAATCCATTCGATAGAACCACTACCACTATATTGATCATTTAAAGAAATAGACCATTTTGAGCATGGATCATTTTCCCATGAATGATCTTTTGAATAGAAAAACTGATTTAAATCAATAAGTGCACCATAACAAAGCGAAACAGCAAAATCTGATTGTAGTCTATGGTAGATTGGTTTCTTTGACATATTATTACTTAACTTATCTTGTTGTTTTTCTTTTTTTAACGTCATCCAAAAAGGCTTGGATGAAGAGAAAGAAAGTCTCGGAATATCAATGCTTTGTGATTTAGTAAAGTGAATATGTATTGATGTTAATCCAAAATACCATGGATGTAATTGTTCTTCTGTATTTGTCCACCGCAAACCTTGTTGTGAAAAATCGTTTTTTATAATTTGCTTAACGTTTTTAGTATTTTCTTCATTATTTATAATAATTATTAAATAATCTTGTTTTGTTGGTGTTTGCCATGGTTGAAACGATTTA